GATTTTATATTGGAGTGACCAGATTGCTTTTGTCTTCAGGAGTTCCCACAGAGGCCCAAGTCAGATGAGGATCAGATGCTCTCAGGCTTTCTCCTAAGGTCTGGATCCCTCCAGGAAATATTTTGGCTTCAGGAATTTTTGGGTTGGACTGGCCTGGGAGCAGGGCCCAGGAAAGATGCTGGTCTCGGGCAGCTGGTGGCAGTGCCACCCTGAGATGCATAGGGAAACTTGGGTGGGAAGAGGACCCAAGGGCTCCTTGGGACTGTACTGAGGAACTGGGTTGGTCTGGATGCAAAGGATCAGTAAGAGGAAAGGTCATCCCCAGAGTCCAGGAAAGAGGCTGGTGGGTTGTGCAGCCCAGGGAAGCAGAGGGAGGTGATGGTGGGGCCAGGCCCAGAGTGCACCTGGGGACCTGAGAAGGAATTGGGTTTTTCTGGATGCAAAGGATCAGGAAGCAGTAGTGGTTCCCTGGTGTCTGGGCCACCAAGACAAGGAATGGGACAGGTCCCAGGCTGGGTGAGAGGTCTGCGGGGTCGACACAATAGATTTTTTTTTTCTGACATGAAGAACAATGTTGCATTCTTTTCAGGAAAGTGAATGCAACCAAAGAAACTCATATCAAGTAAATCAGTCCACAAGCAGAAAGACAAATACCAGAGTTTCCTCTTATTTGTGTTTCTTGGACTATGTATATGATACATAATGCATTTTCATTTTCTTAGGTGTTAAAGTATAAGGGAAAGTGCCCAAGAGGACAAAAAGAGCCAATGGGAGCAGTGAGGGACATGAACAGGGGTGGGACTGAGGGGAAATATGTTGAGACATGCAATATATACATATATGAAAACTTAAGAGTAAAAACAAAGTGTTCAAGGAGGTAGCTTATGAGGGTAGAGATACTCCCAGAAGCCATAAAGTTTTAAATGAAAATCCCAACATGAGGTGTGGGATGCTTCTCTATGAGTTGTTGGCCAAGGAGTCCAACAATACAGACTATTGCCTCTGCTCTTGGTTTTTTACCAGGGCTAAATGATACAACCTTAGTACTGAAGATACCACGTTCCTTGGTTTTTAGAACATGGAAAATCAAGTAGGGACTTTTTTAGCTGGCTAGCCTTCATAGTGCTGCAAAGTGCTACATAGGCTGTTGAGGATACAGTCTCATTAATAGCCATACTCATCTGTTGGAACTTTATGCTACACTACTGACATAATAGGCAGGATGTGCCCATTGATACAAAAGTGAAATGACTGTTATGGGAGTAATTAACAAATACAGGCTGCTTAAAATTACAAATGTATATAAATCATCCTTATATTTTGTATAAACATTAAAAACCAATTAAAATTAATAATAAATTCATTTATATCCAGCCCCATAATAAGGCCATTTATAAGGAGCTAGTAGCTAATTTTATGCTGAATGTAAAAAGTTAGAGATTTCACTCTGAGATTTGGACCAGAAGAAAAATGCTCACTTTAGTGAATTTTATTGAATATAGTAGTTGAAATCCTAGCTGGGGCATGAGGAAGGAGAAAGGAATAAATGACTATTTAAATTGGAAAAAAAAACGTAGTCAAGTTGCCATTATCTGAAGATGATATAAAGAAGATGATATAAAGATATAAAGAAAAGGTCAAAGAATCTATCAAAAGGCTAGAAGGAATAAATTAATTTGGTGCAGTTGCTGGGTGTAAAACTCAGTATTTAATAACCAGCAGCTTTGGTATACACTAGCAAAATGAACTGAAATAGAAAGCAAGCTAACAATTGCATTCACAATGCAACAGGAATAAATTTACCCGAAAGCAATGAAAATGATAAATCACTGTAGATGACACACAAATACAAGAAGGCAACATGTGCAATTGTGCTGGAGATCATAGTTTATAAAATGTCATACTACCCATAGTGATCTACAGATTTAGTGCAGTCTCTATCAAAACACCAATAACGTTCCTCAAAGATCTAGAAAACATTTCTAGTACTTTTACAAAGCCACACAACTCTTTAAAAAGCTAAAAGATATCTGGAACATAAAGAACAAAGCAAAAGATACCTGACCTCAAAATTTATTACAAAGGGACAGAAATCAGAGCCACATAGAATTTGCGCAGAGGGACATGGCACAGCAAGATCAAAGACACAGCCTAGAAGTAAGTCCATACACCTGCAGCTAACTGGCTTTCAACAAAGTTGCTATGAAGAGGCTCTGGATAGAGGAAAGGCTTTTTAAATTAACAGTGCCGGAAAAAAACTGATAAACATACTGAGAAGAATGAACACAGAATTCTACCTGCCACCGATTATAAAAATCCAATCAAATGCATTTTTAAAATCTAAGCATGGTGAACGCATCTGCTGAACCAGCTACTCAGGCTGAGACAGGGGGACTGTAAAGTTTGAAGTCAGCCTGGACAATTAATTGTGATCCTATCAAAATAAAATTCAAAATAACTGTGGGTGTAGCTGAGTGGTAGAGTGCTTGAGTATTATACCTGAGGCCCTGAGTTCAACCCCCAGCACTACAAGAAATAATGAGGAATGCATAAATATAAGACTTGAAACTATGACTCTATCATAGAAAATATAGGGAAACTATTCAATACGTTGAAACAGAAAAAGACTTTTTTTCTGGGAAAATTTCCAAAAACACAGGAAACAAAAGCAAAAAGACAAATTGGGGTTACATGAAATTAAAATAGCAAGAAAAGCTCTTAATGCAAAATAGAAGAAAGTATATACAAACTCTGAGCTTGATAAGAGATTAATACCCAGAATATAAGAAAGCCTTTGAAAAGTCAGTAGGAAAAAAAATC